TGAAGTGGGTTTTCAAAATGAGGGTGATGTTGCACGAGTTTGGTCAACACCTGTATATATGGTGATACAAGTTCCCTTAAAGGGGAAAGCAGCCAACCAACAGGGCTGTCATAGATAAAATGGAGGGAGTCAGGCGGTGGTGATGGGATTCGAACACACGTCCTTCGAGGGGGAATAATTTGGTGACCTTTGCCGCTTGATCACCAAAATCTGCCGGTTCATAAAGTCTGTTCAATCCAGGAAATGGTTTGTATGAAATGCGCAAAATTCAAGTCTTTTTCAATCAACGAAATCAAAGCATTGATGCAGTAAAACAAACGTGCTAAGGAGAAAAACTACCATTGCTTTCTCGATCGTCTTACTTAATTTTGTTGTGAATATCTAGTGCAACCTTTTGTTTGGCGTTTGGTAAACCGGCCCTACCATAATTTTTGCCTACGCGGTAGCAGTTATTGTGACCCGTCACCGGCCCAAGGTTCGAACTCTGACATCCAATTTTGGTGGTAGTCAACTTCCCTATTCTTCTAGTGGTTTCCCAGTCCAATCCTTGGGGGTCCCTTTTCCCGCTTCCATGAGAGAGAGAGAGAGCAGTAAGCCCTCGTGAATGCGAGGGATTCGCCTCTTCTCTGTGCAATAAAAATACAGGCTACTTATCGCGTAAGAATGCACGAGGCAACAAACCGACTGAATCTCTGTACAAAACAAAATGTCACTTCTGATCCGAAGTCGATGTCTCTCTCCTTTGTCCCACCTGTTCACCGCTTCAGCTCATCAGAATCCGCGGACTCGCTGAATCGGGGTGGCTGTGAAGGTCTACTCCGTGCTGCTCGGTTGCTAGCTCGACCACGTTTCACAGACGCACATCTGGGGTCCCAGTCCGCATCATCATCCTTGCTGTTCGAACTGATGACCGGTCGTGATTCCGCAGTCGCGCTGATTGCCGCCCAAATTTTGGTCGCACTTGCACTGACTCTGGAACCGACATTAGGTCCGGAAATTCTGTGTAAGTTTTATTTCCTCTCCTGTCATATGAATGCAATCTGTTGCGCTAGCTTGTGTGTGCGTGTGTGCTTTTCCGATGTCTTTACCAATCGTTCTTGCATCATGATCGTTTAAATTTTTACTGAAGTTTCGTATTGATGTATTCTCCAGAACGATGGAAACGTTTATACGGACTAGCAAGCAGTCCGAGATGTTCAAAATGATGTTGTCGCAGTCCCATTCACTTAGCCTCGGTAATGAGCGCTAGTCACAGGTCTAACGGTTTTAGTCACTATATGAAGTTTGGGTGGTGTCTGACACTTCTGAGATGGTAAACCGTCCTGTCCGTTTGGGCATGCCCACCTCTCTGGTCTCCAAAACTTACTCAATTCTTATCCGCGGATCCGAGAAGCGGAGGCATACGTTAGCACCCACATTCTAGCGCGATACCTGACGGTCTAACTGATTCCGGTTGAGGGTGAGCAGAGCATGAATGGTTCTAGGATACGACAGGTGAGATGTGAAAACAACTACTCGTACCTGAACGAAAGAGATGTGTTCCTGTTCAGCTAACAGGAATCGAGAACAACTTAATGTTGCGGGAAAGCTCGGTTTCAGTTGTTTCAGTAATCATGCCATTGTAGAACGTGTAATCGGATTGCCAATACCAGTGAGTTCAATCACAACTTACTGTCCCAGGATCGCAGATTTCACTCCGAATACGTGTGTGTGTACATGAGTGCTTGCGTGCAACTGATTAATGCTAAGGCTGTAGCGGTTGCACACACGTGAGGAAGATGAAGTGTGTGTGTGTGTGTGTATGGTGATTTTAAGAAGTAATGCGTGCCACCTCTGAGCACATTGGCCGATTTTTCATCCGAATACTTAAGCTTTCGGCCGTAACTGACTGGTTGACTAAGACTCGACGCTACCTTTTCATTGTCTAAATTTTACCCTCTGAATGGTACGAAGCCCGTTGACACACGTCCACTGATTGAGTTTAGGTGCTGAAAAACGGTGTCCGTTTGCATATTTTTTTAAAATTACACACCACTGTGTGATGACCAGGAGACGGGGCGAACCCCATAATCACAAGGACCTACTGTTCATTAGTTTTTAACCGGCAACCTCAGCCCCGGGACTTTGAGTGGCGAACCACATAAGGCCCCGCTAGGTCAGGCATGGTATTGAACCGGACGACGGCAAAGCTGCCAGGGTTTAACAACCACGCCCGTGTAGTGTTTACAACTCGTTTTATTACACACGGGAATTGATGCATGAGGATGAGGTTGGATCTGGAGAACGCAAGGAGATGATTGAAGTAGGGTCTTGTATATGTTTTTCGGAGACAGCATACATCTAAATGGAAGGTTTCAAGGGTTATAGCTAAGGCGGCTTATTGACCAATCTGATAGATTGTGCGGACATTAAATGCGGCTAAGTGGAAAGGAGATTTTGTTTTTAAAAATCTGATAGCCTCTGAGTGGTTGGCCTGATTGGTTGAACACTGAGTGGTATCCGATGGGTGGCGCAAACAGGATACATCTCTTAAGGTATGGGAGTGAGAAGGGGAAATAGACAGTTGAGAAAGACTGTTCTCCAAATGGATACCTAAGACTTGCTGATGCATCTACTCATTATTCTTGTAACTTCAGTCTATAAAAATTTGCTACCTTTAGCTTAAATCTTCTCTCGACATTCTAATCATCATTCTGCTATTTTATCCAAATGGACAACCAAAACCGGCGCACGAAAGTGCATGGTTATTGGTTGTAAGAACTGAACTAAACTGTTTTATTATACGCAGTTACGTAATAAACAGTAGACTAGGTAAGCTCCATATTCACAAGAACCTACAGCTCACTCATGTGAAACGGTAACCCAATTCCCTGGGTTTGTCGTGATGAGTCAAATAAGGCTCCACTGGTGTAGTTATGGTGACAGTGAATGTGCCTACCACTGAAGTTGGGTGAGGATGGCGAGGTTCAAACCTCGGACCTTGGGAACTAAATTACGCCAGTATTAGTGACTTGAGTCACCTGACCACCAGCACCCCACAAATGCGATCGGATGGGTGCCTACCTATCAACTCCCACCGAAACAGTGCGCGCACACAAAATGCAACCTGCAGAATTGGGCACCCCATCTGATCGAAAACGCATATTTGAATGGGAATACAGTTTTTTTTAGCTTCGTGGTTTTGGAATTACTGTTTACTGCATCTGATAATCTTCGCTGAATAGTTTCTTTACTCTGCATCGTAGCCAAACATGCGCAAGTTTCCTAACGGTTTCCATTTTTCCCCCTTTTTCCTGATAGCTATGTAGTGTCTTTATGATAAAATGTTAGACTATGAATTCGTCATGTAAATGAGGCGTGAGCTGAAAAGCTGAAAAGCATCGACCCAACTGGGGATCGAGCATACTACCCACTCGGCCACCGGGCAGCTGATCGGACCGTTTCTCATTTGGATTATACACAATATGGTTCATGAGAACAAACCAGATGAAAACAGCTGTCCAGTGCCACCCAGCTTTTCAGCTCACGCCTCATTTACCCGACGAATTCAGCATCCAATCAAATAAAATCCTCCATTCCTACCATATAATAAAATGTTCTGTGCAAACAGACGCCAGAAAAATTAGTAGTCATTCGAGCATGCTTTCCGAGTTTAGTTCGCCAAGCCATATGATGGTATTCTCTGTATTTGGAGCATGACAAAAATATTGAAAAAATATTGTATTGTTCATTCTGCGCGGCTTTCTGCTTATCAGACTGAGCTCTTACTTTAGTGGATTATGCGGCTGTTGTACTTTCCTTTTTGCCGAGCAAAATTTGCGTTTAGGTGCACAGTGTAGAGCGATTTAATATATTGACCGTGTAAAGTCCATGGAGTTTCTGTTTTTGCTCTCAGACTGGACGTGTGGACTGGCATTGTTCACCAACAGAACTATGACTGTCTCTAAGTGCTTACATTCGGGGATGGAATAAACACTTAAATCCGCGCCTAGGATGAATGCCCACCCTTTTTCTTCCCGGTAGACAACACTCAGCACGCCGTTGTGAAGACCTTGAGATATGCGTCGTTCGACTTTATTCCCATTCAACACGACTGAGATCACCTTAAAAGAAACAAGTTCGGGCGGAATTGGAAGCGATTGGGAACCAATTTTCTTGGGGTTATCTGTCAAACCTAATCGATAGTATACCTCGTAGATCAGGTTCCGTCTTTGCAAACAATAATGGTTCTGATGAATGCCAATAAAATCGCATTCTGACGAATTTTTTATGCATGAAAAACTTGCTGTTTGAGTGTCCTGTCTGACTTCGTTTTTTTATGGCTCTCTACATGATTTGTTCCAGAACGATAGGGTTTTTGTTTTTATGTTTTGACCAACAGTAGTGCGGTGCAAGTAGAGTTTCTTCGAGACGAATTTGTCATGCTCCTAAAGGTGACCCCGATTGCCAATGCATCTTCCTTACGGAATGAACCCCCATGTGCTTGTAACTGGGTACTGTTAGGATACAGAAATAGAAACGGTTACGGTTTTATTATTCTCCCGAATGAATTTGCACACATAGTCAGTGATTTCACTGATTCGTGTGCTTGTGAACGGTTCGCTTAAGTCGAAAGACAGAAGCTGCTTTCCTTCCAGACGTGTCTCGTACAGTCAGTCTATGTGTGCAGATCGCCGCCCCTATTGGTTCCACCAAGGTAGTCGATCATTTCGTTACAGCGAGGGTTTGCACAAATCCACAAACGGTCTGATAAGATCGTCCTGTTTGTTCACCTTCAGTAAGTCATACCATATAGGAATAATCCAAATGGGAATTCGTCGTATTTATAGCAATCGAAGTGTGAACAGAAAAACTAGGAAGCCCATATAGGAATAGTTGTTTTCTTTGATCGGATCGGACATCACAATCTCGTGGAGATTCATTTTTCCCATCTGAATCATCTTATCTCTCCCTCTTGTTCGGAGTCTCAATCAACGGGGACCAATTGCTCAGTATTGTCTTCATCATTCCTCTATTGTCCTACTTCCCTTTATAATCGCAGTACCCTTGCCTTTCTTTATCTGACCTCGATAGCGTGAATTTTCCGTTGGTCCGTATTTCTTGGAGACCTCACCGGATACTCCATTGTCAAGAATCCTACCGGGGGGAGGGGGAGGGGGTATTGATAACATGAGTTCACGAGTATAAAGTTAAGTTCCCCTAACTCCTCTAGTGAAGATGACAAAGGCTGTCAAAATTCAGCCTCAGTATCCAAGTGTTTAGTCCTATTGGTTGGACAGGAAGACTTGGACCTTAAAGACTTTGCTTTAAGCCACATCATGTTCCACCTTTCCTTCACCAACACATGTACAACCAATTGAATTTTCACACATCAAGCGATTCGGTCCATACGTTCAGAATTCAGTTTGAACGGGTGGGACTGTAACGTGTTACACTCCCATAACCACACTACTCCTATTTTTGATCATATATTGAGTATAGTGTTTTGCTACGGTTACGACTAACCGAAAATACGCTTCTTCGCCATGTCGTATTGTTTTCAATGTGTTCCCCGAGGGACCACTCGTACATACATTTGCTGCATCGAGTTCCGAATTCCATTCACGTTTATCGAACAACGAATAAATCCCGGGCGAGTCATCGACAACCGTGCATCAACACATTGCAACAGACAATTTAATCTTCCCTAGGAATTCGATTCATTCACTTAAAGTGTGCCCTACCCGTATCCAACAGTTTCCCAATCAATCTGGTCTTAGTCTTAACCCATCTTCGGTCTTTGCTGCTCCTCATTTCCAACAGGTGGTCTATACACACACACACATTTACAATCTTATGGTGATATTGAGTCACCTCCCTTTTCAGTTGCACAAACTCAGGCAACACCCACCCCACAGTCAGCTATATCCTCTTGCGCTCACCAATACGTTTTCCCCATTCTACTCTATTGCTCCCTGGTTTTTTAAAACCATTCGTCGCAGTTTGATAATACTTAATCGTACATCATTAATCGCAAAGCTCTCGGATGGGGGCATCAACTCTTGTGTTGAATTTGCCAATATTATTCTGAACCAATCTTATCATCCACTACATCCCGATTTATCATCTCGCCGTTCTAGTACATCAACACGCCCCACTTTTCGGCATCTGCCCTCGCGTATTAACATTTCCAAGAATTCTCCTCTACCTTACTTGGTCCAACTACTAGTTCATGAGGAACAGGTCGCAAATGGATGATTTCCGAATTTTCGTACACAAAACAAACTTCAGCGACATTCTTCACTTAGCATGTTCCGAGAAATTGTATATTTTGAACTCAAATGTAAGCCTATAAGCTTACACAAGTTATACAAATGCCACACACTGCACTTGGTTATGCGCGGGTTTCGAAGTTCATTCCCGAAAAAGCCGAATAGTACTGCAAGCGTCTCTTGTACCAACCGCCTATGAATGTTATGATCTTCCTGAAGCCAGTTTATTCTCTTGATGGATCAGCCAATTCTCGATGGTAAACCGCAGTCTCGTATCCTTGTACTCTTGCACTTTTGTCAACCGCCGTGTGAAGCAATACTTGTATTGGTGTCCTGGAGTGCCGATTCAAGTTTTCTCTACAGGTGATTTGTAGTCATAATCCGTTTACTCTGTTCTGAGCGCAGATGAAATGTAATCGTGCATTTATTCACTTTCAGCAACCTCTTCCTGATTGATCGATATATCACTTTGAGATGTCGTATAATGATCGGCTATCGTCCAGTCCATCCCCATCTCATTTGGGTTTCATGTGGTAGTAGTTTTCCGCTCCAAGTTCCTAGGCCCATAGGGCCTACTCCTTCCATTGTTTCATCACTCAATCGCGTGTCATCTAGTATTGAAGTGGATCATGACCATAGTATTGCACATCGTTCTAGCATGTACTGTTTGTGTGAAACATTATTCAGTATTCGAAACGTTGCAGTTGCCTAACCTATTTGTCCCCGACGATTGTTCTATTCTCTTTAGTTGAACTATGTTCCTGTGTTCCCGCGAATTCCAAATCCACATGTGTGGAAGACAATCAATCGGGTGAGGTAAAAGTCCCTTGTTCACCCCAAACAACTCCATTACTTCTATTCTTCCCCGTGCTGGATGAACTGGAAACCGGATGGACCGCGCGTCGTTTGTCCATATCAGACTCACCACCTACGGAGTCCCCTTGGGTGGCCAGTGAACTTTTGCCCAATATCTTCGATGATCCCATTGCCTACCAACCGTCTACCACGATGGGTTGTTATCTTGTTCAGGAGATGCTCACTTTCCAATTCTTTCCGCGTTTGTGGGATGTGGTCAGTCGGGATTCACAAAAGTCCCGTACAGCGCCTCTCCTTCGAGCGGTTGTATGGCTCCTCTGTCGCGAACAGATATTGGTCCGAACCCGGCTCGCCAGGCCGCGTCTCCAGTTGGCTCTGAGAATGCAATTGAAACCGTTACTGACGTTGCTCGATTCACAAACGGAATTTTCCGAGGTTTGTTTTCACCTGTCCGTTCCATTCAGCGTTCAGTCCTGGTTGTTGTATTATACAAAAAAGTTAACGGATAAGAAGTGCACCCACACACACACCGCCGTATATTCACCTCTCTCTCTACGTTTCAAATCCTCAATGACAAACTGTACACACTCTCTTTGTGTCCCGCATGAATTGTTGCTAGGCTGAAGTGAACCCGTAAAACGTTAGCGGGATGTGTATGCACGTGTGCCGATGGGATCATGCGCTTTAATCATGTAAACCGGGATCCTAATCCTTGAAATTTTGAGTGATCCAGCCACGAAATCCCTCAATGGAACAGGATGAAAGTGGTAATTCGGTTCAACACCACGCTTAACCTACCGGGGCTTGGGTTACCCGATTCTATCAATAAACGGCAGGTCCTCATGACTATGGGGCTTTCCCCGTCTGCTGTTCATCACATTAAGGTATACAATAAAAAAAATTACCCACCGGGAACGCTTTAACAGCCAAATAGAACGATCAATTCGCACGTTCCAAACTTTAAGTGATGAGTCTTTGAGTGATGTAACGACGAAACTGAGGAATGTGAGGAATTAACATCGCCCATGCGCCATTGAATAATGTCTTCGATTGGGGCAGGGAAATCTAGCGGGCAAAATTCGACAGTGATGAACTCCTCGTGTAAATGAGACATGAGCTGAAACGCCAGAATGCACTGGACGGTTGTTTCGACCTGATTCGATCCCATCAGTTACAATCTTTGTCTGCCTTATTTATGATACTTTGTTTCCTAGATAAGCAAAATTTGGGTTTTCATTGATCACTTATTTGACACATTTTTTCACGCTCTGGCTTCTTGATCGTAGTCGAATCGTGTAATTGTAGATTTTGAAAAAGATTAGAATAGTATCGTTTCATGCTTCGCGTCTCAAATTATTATCCGCCCGTTTTCCTATGAGTTCTTTTTTAATTCCTGTGTGGTGATTGGTTTCACGGTTTTCCAGTACTTATTCCCAATAAACTCACTTATCTGCAAGTCTCTCAAACATATGTCTAAGTGCGCCGATATTCTTCCTGAGTAGCTCGTGTCTGTTGTTTAAATAAAAAGTATACACGTTAGATATTCTCTCGATAGGTATTCACAGGCCACGCGCACAAACGAACACACAACCGATATATGTTCTAAACGGATCGCTCTGTTTCCTTGCTTGAAACACTGCTTTTCTTCGTTCTTTGATCGCACCATATTTAGATCATTCCGCTGCTACTCTCATCAATCTCCATCTGAACTGACGATTGTTCTGGAGTGATTCACACAAACATACACTATTACCTGTCGTTTTTAACCCATCATGATGATATAACTTTATTTTTTCTGTCAGATTCGTTATGCTGTACCGTAATAGTCATTTTTCGGGGTGCACAAAGTACCTGCTTGTATTTCTGTTCTGACCCCATCAGCGCATCGAACTTCTATTGACATTGCTCGAGCACGCCTTGAGCATCCACGAGCGCGTACCGCTACAACCGGAGGCCAATCGAGCCGGTCCCGGTGGACGATTCACCGCGGCACGCAAACCGACTCGTCCAAATACCTCTCGTTATCTGTCCCCACGTCTGGCCTATCAGTTGGGTCATTGTTTGATTCGATTGGCCGCCAGATTTTTGTCTAGGCTGCGTCAAAGCACTGACTCTAACGAGCGGACTAATATGCTACGTGTACTGGGTCGCATTGAGAACTTATTGCAGCCGTATGGCGATTGTTACACAATCAATCCTATCAATGGTGGCAGTAGTGCGTTGCTCCGGTCCACGGCTCTGCGTCAGTTGTCCACGACCGAATCACTACAGCTGGTAAGTGAAGGCTAGATCGTTAGTCGTGTACTTATTTCTCAACAAAATGCCATTATGCATTTGCTCTGAATCTCCTAAACGGTTTTTATTTGCTAAGAACCACCATACCACTTTCGAACTGTGGTACTCAGTAAATCCTTACCGAGGTGACCGGGAAATACCCGCTCTCGTAGGGTTTAGTCTCATACAAATCCCTGGATCGGTAAGCTACACCGAGCACATCTCCAGGTCTCGGATAGTAGTAGAAAGAACATTGATGTGGTAAATCATGCATAAGTGGTTATATTTGGCTGGTTGATTCGGGGTCGTTTCCGACCTGTTGTCGTTTCGATCAGATCGGGTGTGTTGGTCTGGGTGTGGAATGCGGTGTGACAACAGAGCAGTACACTCATGTTAGGAAGAATTTTCGTAATCTGAATAGTAATTTTCTACTATGAACCATCATCCAACCTGTGTAATGGGTTGGTTGGATAATGTAAATCAAAATACACGATCGTCAAGGTCATTTAGCCGAAACAAGCTTTGAACTTCTCCCGGTTCAGTTTTACAAGATTGTAAAGGGTTGACGGGTTCAGTGTGTCAAAACTGTGGAATTTCCTTTTTTGTCCTTGTCGTTAATCTTGCCAACTTGAAAATTAGGATAAACATCCCGATTTCTCCCACCTTCTCCCACCCCACCCCCCACTCCCTAACTCCCAATGAGGTTTCACTCTTTTGCCGTGAATCGCTTCTCACACGTAGTAAAATTATCATGTGCACATTCTCCTCTTAGTTTGATCTACCAATTGTCCCTGTTGAGCGATGCATGTTCAGTTTCCGAACTAGCAACGCTTTCCTGTGGCTGTTTCATTTTTCTGAGCTGTATTAATGCCCTGTGTGTGTGTGTTACTTTCCTGGTACATGCTTCACCATGCCCGAATGCTTTGTTTCAAATCGGTTGAGATCAATGGAGAACAGCGACAGCGCCGATAAGAATTATTTTTATTCACGTTCTGCACAACAACCGTATGAAAGAACGCAATCAGCACATTGTGTCGTCTTCGTCATCTAATTATTTTGACATTGCAAATAAAATCCACTAGGCGAAACAAGCTGTTTTTTCGATAAATTCATCAACTGCCGATTTGCATTTATGTAGGTAGAGCATTTAGTATTTGTTTGATCTTGTGCGCAGTGGATCGTATTACCCTGTGTCCAAAGCGGTGCTACGTGCGTCAGCATTTGGATTGAGCTTTCTCTTGGTCACAACGTTCTTCCAGTTACCACGCTCGCACCGGTTGCTCGCTTGGCAACTGACCATGGTAGTGACAGTGTCTGGACGAAACGCTTCTGATTGCATAGTGGGAGGTCAAATAGTTTGATCGCAATAGCTTCAGCCGTGCTTAGAAGGATGAAGCGTACGGATTTAGATGATAACGGATAGCCATTCTCTCGTAATGTGTTTCTTATTTGGTTCATTTCGTCCTATAGGGTGTCCGGAGTACAGATTCTCTGTGCTCGTCTCGCTAGACAGTGAACCAAGTTTCGCTTTTGTTTAATTGGTGCGAAGCCATTGAAATGAATGTATTATCCTGTCCAAGTTGGCCTCATTTTGCATTAAGTTATGCTCTAGATTGCCGGACGAATAAGGTCAGCCCAATCAATTTTTCGATCACTGATTGCCTCGGTCTATTGGTTCCTGTGGAGCACACATCAAAATGATGTGGCATAATTTACGTCCGGATAGATTCGGGCATCTCTTAGCCCGTGTGTATGTACTGCCTCCAAAAATCAATCCTATGAATCTATCTACAAACACCTCTCACACTGCGCGCCAAGTCAGTTTCCTATTCCACACAGGTTCCTATTTCCACAACCCACCGCCTTCTCATTTCATACAATCTTTATCATCATTTTCGTACAGCGTGATACAGTGAAGCGAACTTCACTGACCACTGCCAAACTCATGATGCATATAAAATCTCTAATCCGCCCGATGCTCGAATACGGCAGTCACGCATGAGGTGGAGCTTCGAATTTCGCTCTCTGTCTCTTGATCGTGTGAAAACGTAAAATAGTCCGACTGACTTACAATTTGCAGCCACTGCCACATCACCGTGTTGTTACTTTGTTCTCTTTTTCCGCTGTTACTGTTTTGGGTTCCGCTCTGCTGAACTCGCTTTAACGGTTCCCCTTTCCTTGTTCTTTACTCATCCATCTTGTTCTCAGATGGACGATTAACCTTAACAGGTTTTTGTTTCCGGAAACCTGACCTCTATCTTCTAGTCCTCGTTTATCCTCCGAACTGCGAAACTATGGAACACTATCCGTCTAAGTTATTTTCAACCGCACGTATTCACCCATTCTTGCATCGGTGTCTTTTTCAGGTCGATCCCGCCTATGAATGTGAGGCTGATTTAGCCCGTTCGGATAGACTTAGTCGGTTACGGGATTTGGACGAACAACTAGTTGACACACAGTGCATCCCTGCCCTCACCGATCGTTCACTCCCATCCCAGTCATCATCATCGTCCCTGTTGCTTCTCAATCCCCCGTCCGCATCGGACGGAACAAATGAAGATGGTCTTACTAAAGGCTATCTCCGTGCTCCGACTCTGTCACGTCTGGATCGTCGAGGATCAGTGAGTCCGTACCGGCGTCCACCGGGAGCAGCATTCAACGCGTTTGGAGTTCCCGACACCATTGGCAATCCCGATTGGCGCTGTAAATCGGAAAAGACCACTCCCGCTGAACCAGGTTTGTTTCTCAATTTCGACCGTTGTCCAGATCATGTGTTTTTTCGTCTGTGCTTTTTTTATCGGTAAATTTGTTTGTTAGCTGGTTTTCGAACATGATGTTTATTGACCCAATTGTGTCACAACATGCAAAACTAAATCGCACCAATCTGAAAATCTTATGGCCAATTTTCCTTTTACAACACATCGTATTGCTGTGAACGATGTTTTAGTGATTGAACTCCGTAGTGTCAACGTTCTACTGTACAAACAAGACAATTGGTAACCTAATTCCTGGAAAAGGGAGTGATGAACCACTTTAGGTTCTAGTAATATCGGCAATCGGTTGACCGTAAAGACAGTTATCTACTTCAAAGTCGAGAGTATAATGACAACAGCACCTCAAACCACTCCAGTGCAGCTTAAAGCTTCATCTAGCAGTTCGTCGTAAATACCGCTTCTCTGATATACTGTACTAATATCTTCAAAAGTCTCAGTATGGTCGGGGGTGGGTGTCTAGAGTTTTGGCTGGTCACCCTTCCCTTGCACCTCGTGAAATGCTCCTATACGACAAAGAGTCTCAAATAGCCTCTGCTGA